CCCTTCTAACGGGGTGATGGGAGTTCTTAACATTGAACAATTATTCAGCAAAATTTGATTTGATGTGCAAATAATTAGCAGAAATACGGGCGTCATGATATGTATCTAGCTTTGTGAAATGGACGTTGATATGGATGGATTTTTTTGAAAATTTTGACACATCGTTGCTGGCCAAAATGTTAAATTAAAAACGCGGTGCACAAAGCCGATGTTTGAAACAGGCTTTTCTCGGAACGTCCTATCTCAGACATTAGCAAATTCAAGTACGACGTCAACTACAAAACGCTGATCACAATGCTTGATAAGCTTTCAGATGAAAAGTACACTAGTTAGACAAAGTCTGAAAGCTGATTAGCAGAGAACAAATTTCCAAGTCTCACACAGTAGCAAGTCGAATTTTGAATGCGCACCCTTCTAGTTCCCATTAAGTCAGCCTTAGGAAAAACATTATTATGTTTGCAAAATGCTTGTGCCTTACATACTCAATTTTACTGAATAAAGTTGCATTATATCATTTTAATCACTAATTTCCCGGTTGAACATAGAAACATGGACCCCGAATCGTCTACCGCTAGATCCCAGGTAGGTACCTATTTCCGTATCCTAATTTCTACCTCCACCACCCAGCAGTTAAGGCAAGACGACCTGTTATATATTTGGGGGTCCATACTACAGTACTTAACTAATTTCATCGATAATCACTTTTTCGTTCACCCTAAGTATTAGCTTCCATTTCAAAGAGTATGAAAAATAATAGAGTGGCGATCACCGCTCGTGTTACGGAACTCACTCGTTCCTTTGTGCCTTGCGGGCTTCCCCTCGAGTCCAACCGGCAGCTGCACAGCGGCGCATGATGTAGGCAGAATAGCAGTACCGACAAAGACAGAGGATTCGAACCCACGCAGTAAGGGGAAAGCTTTGGTACTGCCAAAGCTCTAACCACTTGAGCTACGACGCCCCGTCGGACGACGCGAATTTAATCACATTTGGGTTAAGTAGCCCGCCCAACCTACTGCAACGTCTGGAATCCACCAAATCTGACACAGTAAGCTGACTGCCCAAGCAGGATTTTCCAAGTAATTCACCTAGAATCCACCAGATGACTACCAGGCTCACGTAATTGTAAATGTTTTAGCAGATGTTGCATAATTTAGATTGACCCCACTGTGAAAAACTCGGCAAATGTGCTTAAACTCGCGTCATCCGGCGGGGCCTCATAGCTCAAGTGGTTAGAGTGTTATCTGTAATAAAGCCTTCCCCTTACTGCGTGGGTTAGAGCCCCACCGAGCCGCCGACTTTTTCGCAGTTGGGTCAGTATGAATTGTTCAAAATCTGCCAAAACATCTATGAAGAACAGAGAAGGCTGAAAAGGCTATTTCTGGTTTATTGGCTGTCGCGGGATCGCGTCCCAGGTGTTCCACACCTCGGGGTTGGGTATGACTGGCTGACGACGGCAACTTGGCTAGAAATGGCCATTCCAGTCTCCCTTGTCCTTGTCGGTAGTTCTATCCTGCCCGTATGAAATCTTTCGGTTATGATCTCACGGCTCAAAATGTATGTTGAAACCTGTGGAATCTAAACAAAATTAATTGCTCTATTGTAAGGCATAATCGCTGGTTCTCAAACGCTACCGTAAAGCAAGTATCGTATACGCTGAGAGGCAAATTGAATGCAATGGGTCTCCAGTTTCAGATGATATTTTAGTTTTTATTATCAAAATATCAGCCAGGTGATCTGGAGATGAAATAACCTTTTTTGCGTTAACTTTCGAAAATGCTTCCCCAACTGTTTATCAAACAACTAGCCAATGTACGAAAAGAAATTATCTTCGGGAAGTGTCCAGTAAATTAGCCGATGTTGGGTCGAAGCCTGCACGGTACTGGTCGTATACATGCCTACTGAACCCTGGAAATTTGGAGAAACTGAAGTTGCTCAACGGGACATATTTTTCACTGACGTTCCGAAGGGCTAAGTTGGCCCTCCATTTTTAAAGCGTTTGGTGCCAGAAATCGACTAGGATTTTGGATGACTGGACGAGCTAGTCGGCCTTGGACCGATCGATTTCTCCTTCCTTTTTTCGCTGTCTCAGCCTTTTGATAGATGTTTTCGGGGCTTCACGGCCACTGGCATTGCGCATCGTTACTTCTATGCCTCACCTTCGGGGGAGTTCGTCACAGGGCCGTGTCTGCTCGGATCTTTTAAGTTCAGTGTGACAATCTCGTCCTGGTTTTTATGCTGACAGTGGCTCAAGATTTTATAACCTGTGCGAAGGTCTAGAGGCCTGTTTTCGAGGAGGTCTGCCTATTCCGGTGGGTTGTAACAGAGGAGAGACCGCCGTGGAGACTGCCTAAGTGCAGGTAATGGCCTTCTAGACTTCGGATTGATATCACTTCAACCGTCATCTGTTCGCTTGGTGTTTGCTTTGCTCGATAAAATGGCTTGGGTATCCGGCGGCTCGGAAGAGGTCGTGAAGGCATTATTCTTTGGTGCTTTTATGAGCGTGTATGCTACAATATTTCAATTCTGCGGAATAGAATGTGAACACAGTTACGTCTGGGAGACAAAGTAACTGTTCGATTGGAGTATTTATCTCTTGTCGATGGCTTTAGTGAATACTGTAGTCTGCAGTTGTCCACGTGGACGTCGGCGCACAAGGACTTTGGACAAGCGAAGTTGGTTATTTGTTTCAGGTGCCGTCGAAACTCGTGTCAGTCGAACTCAGTAACTCTTTGAGTTCTTCATTGTCAGATGACTTGACAGTGAGGGAATTCACTTTGACTCAACTGTGAAAAACTTGGTGCCTCAGTGGATTCGAACCCACGACAGCAAGGGGAAGCTTTAGTACAGCCTCAGGCAGTCAGCATACTGTATTTGATTTGGTGAATTCCAGGCGTTGCAGTAAGTTGGGCGGGTAGACTTGAACCAAATGGGATTAAACTCGCGTTGTCCGGTAGGGCCTTATTGCTCCGATGGTTAGAGCGTTCGATGTGCTAAAGCCTCACTTTGCTGTCGTGAGTTCGAATCCCACCGAGGCACCGAGTTTTCAAAGTTGGGTCAAAGTGAATTATTGGAAGTCTGCCAAAAACAACTTTAATAAGGAAATTGTCATTGACCTAACAAGCCCAGAACTTTGCTTGATACGTGAGTAACGCCAAGTGTTCTATCCATTGAAAGCCCACTTCAGCGATCAGGCCCGATAGCGTTGGACCCATGGGAGCGACTCTAAGTTGTTCATGCATTTCTCCGTCGAAGATGAAATGGTTATTCAGGCAATATCACATAATCTCGAGAAAATGTTCGGACGTCAGGGGCTTTTGCCTCTCGTCCTAGCGTTCAGCAAAAGTTGTCTCCTAACGTTAATCGCTTGTTGATCTCGAATAGAGATGAAGAGTGGAATGATATCAATGAATACCGTGCATTCATCTGGCTCTAACCTCAGGTGCTTTATCCGTTCAAGGAACTGATTGGCAGAGGTTTTTCTAATTGGAGAGCCTTTTGCCGGTAAACTAAGATGACTATTAAGCCGTAAAAACATCTAGCAAAAGCCTATGCCAGCAAAAGAAGGAAAAAACTGATCAGTCCAGGGCTGACTAGCTCGGCCAGTCATTTAAAATTCCGATCGATTTTCTACATTAGATGCTTCGAAGATAGGGAACCGACCAAGCTCTTAAAAATGTCAGTATCAGGACGAATCTGTTTCGGCGAGCAACTTCGCTTTGTCAGATAATCATCTGCGAACTCTTGCCATTGTGAGCTTGGCATCTAAATCTTTATGCCCATTGATGCACTTCCCGTCCGAGTGCATTGTTTCCGTGACCTCGCAACCCTTTCGTGTTAGACAGGAGCCAGCGATATGGTTTACTCATGTTTGCGGTTAAAATTCTGTCTGTTGGTACTATAGTGAATTATTTGCAATTTATGAGAAGCGCCTCCCCCTCGTCCTTATTCTTCACCATTTCAGTGCAAAGTGTTTGCAGAAAGTAGCCTTGAAGGTGGAGTCCTAGAAGGACGAGTAGATGTTCAGACCTCAGTCTCTCTCCCCATTGCTTCCAGCCAGTTGTTGATTCGTGGCATATATCGTTAGTTGTTGTGGTATTAAACTCATCCCGTCATTTCAAAATGCACAAAATCGAACAGAAATTGAAGTGTCGCACCGAGCCACCAGGCCAAACAACCCCCTGTCGAGACTCAACCGCCCCCATCCAGGCGTCGACTCATACCGCACGACGGTTCAACGGTTGTTGCCGACCATGGCCACTGTGTGCTTCATAGGATAGTGAGGGCAGTGACGATGACTGGCCCCTCTTGAATCTCGGTAGATGTTACGAAAGTCTACCATCACCATAAACTAACTCACGCGTAAATCACCGTCCGCACACATGGTGGACATCCTCGGCAACGACGGTCAAACTGTCGGAATGCGGGTGAAGATTGGAATGACAATAAAGCATACCGTGGATTCATCTGGCCCTAACTTCAGGTGCTTTATCTGTTCAATGAACTGATTGGCAGAAGCACTTGAAGCCACGTTGGTAAGAACCAACGCGACCGACGAGGCTAAACACACCGTACGCCAGAAAGTCACCTCCCTACTGCTGACGAACAGGCCCATCAATAACATGTCGCCCGCAGAAATAGAAGCAATGAAGGAATTAAGAATGGACAAAGATATAATAGTGCTGCCAGCCGACAAAGGAAGAGCAACCGCCGTGATGAACCGCGCTGACTACAACGAAAAGGCACATGCCCTCCTCGACGATCAACAGTCCTACAAGTCCACGCCTCCCTCGCGAGCCAAATCGATGATTGATCAACTAACTGGACTCCTGAACCGACTCAAGCGAAACAGTGCTATATCGCTAGACGAATGGCGATAGATGAAACCAACGGACACGGCACTGGCCCGGTTTTATGGATTACCCAAAATCCACAAACCCAATGTTCCCCTTCGACCGATCGTTGCCTTGAAAGGCAGCCCCACTTACAATCTATCCAAGTGGATGGCCCGAAATCTTAACTTTCTCCGAGAAGGCTCAAGGACCTCCATCAATTCGGCCTCCCAATTCCTGGCTGACATCCGAGGAAAAGTTGTCCGACCGGAGCAGATTATGGTGTCCTTTGACGTGGTTTCATTATTCACGTCCATCCCACCGGACCTGGCATGCGACGTTCTTCGCAAACGACTCGAAGAGAATTACGACGAAACGAACAGACCCCTAAAAATCGACCACTTACTGCAAATGTTTGCTTTCTGCCAACAAACCTTCTTCACCTTCAATGGCAGAACATACGAGCAGATCAAAGGAACGCCGATGGGTTCGCCATTATCCAGCCTGGTTGCAGAACTAGTCCTGCAGGAACTGGAAAAAGTCGCCTTCGAGCACTATGAACCTGCATTTTGGCGCCGGTACGTGGACGACACGTTCGTTATAATTGACAGGAACAGACTGGCCGACTTCCAAGACCTGCCCAACGGCATCTTCTCGGACATTCAGTTCACTAGGGAAGAAGAACATGACGAACAGCTGCCTTTCCTGGACGTTCTCGTCACACGCACACCCAACGGCGAACTCAACACCACGGTGTACAGAAAGGCGATTAACACGACTCAGATTCTCAACTACCACAGTAACCACCCAATGGCGCATAAACGCAACTGTGTTAGGACATTCTTTCAAAGGGTAAAAACGCACTGCAGTGAACCCGAGGGACGAGTACGGGAACATCGGCATCTTCGGGACCAACTGGCAAGGAATGGATACCCGAACAGCTTCGTCAGCCGCTGTCTCCGCACGCGCCCACGGCGAACAAACGGAGGAGAGCCGCCAACACTCTGGCACCCTCTATCATATATAAAGAACGTGTCCGAAGCGATGGAACGTATCGCTGGAGAGCTCGGCGTGGGTATCGCTCACCGTCCGACAGCGACCATGCGCAGCAAAATCATGCAAGTGAAGGATCGCCTAGACGTGGGAGAACAATCGGGTGTCGTCTATCAGATCCCATGTCGGGACTGCCCTCGCCACTACACTGGACAAACCGGACGACGACTTAGCTCACGAATAACGGAGCACAAACGGGCGGTTCGGAGAGGCGACCCGTTGTCTCAGGTCGCCACTCACACCCTGGAGGAAGGCCACGAATTCAACTTCGCGAGCACACGGATAGTGGCGCGGGCTAACAATAAGACAGGGCGAGAACTGTTGGAGGCCTGGGTGTCTGACACCAACTCTATCAACAGGCAGGTTGACATACCCCCCTGCTATCACGCGCTCCGTTCCCGCGGTCAAGAGGCGAGACCCAATTTCCAGCCAAGGGTGCACGCAGTCACGCCCCCGTGAGACG